TTTTCCAAAGTGACGATTCAACATTTTCATTGTTATGCGGAATCAACCAAAGCCATTTGAGGTTGTATCGACTCATGATAATTATAACAAAGTATTCGAGTTATTTCACAAATCTATATGAATATCACACAACATGAAAAAAAAATCGTAAAATTATAAAAAAAGGCAGTAACAACTAGACAACTTTAAACTAAAATAAAATATTTCGTCCTTTGGTTTAACTGAATTTTGGTACTGATTAGATTTAGATTGTGTTAGCCCGAATTAACATATTGTCAGTTTTTAGACATTATATCGTTCCTTCCACTAATCCGCCATTTCCAAGTCGTATCCGCCATTTTTATCGCAAATAAGGACAACGTACGATCTCATATTTGCATAATCCCATCACGAATTATGTAAATATAGAAAGATTGAAAATGCTAAACCAGAAGTAACGGTAGCTACTAGTTAGTCACGAAAGTAACTATTTGTTCAATAACTTTAATTTATGTACCTGTAATTCTTGTTAGGCCATTCTGCCTCATTGAATAAAAAGGGCGTAAAATGATAAGCGCCCATTTCAACTATCGATTTTGCTAAGACGGTGAACGTGGGTGTTTCTACAGAAGTGTATAATTCCTTCAAGAACTCCGGTGTCCATGGCATACGAGGTATTTCTTTAAGGCGTTGGTCGTATGTGAATCTGTAAGAAATTGTGTACATTAAGTAACATACCTAGACGTTATTAAAGATATTTTGAGCGACCGCGTAACATAATTGTTTGGCAAATTGTATGCCTTTTTGTGAGCTAGGGCCGTTATACGTTAAGTTAACGCCATCTGGCAAGTTCGTAACGAACCGCGCCACAGGTCCTCGCCACTAAAATTGAGAAAGATCCATTATACCGCTTGGTATTGTTCCACCACACCGGCACGATTTCGTTCGCAATCTTATTTTTAACAGACTTCAAAAAAAGGAGGAGGTTCTCAATTCGACTGTTTTTTTATATGTATGTTACGCAATAACTTCAGCTGAAAAGGAAATGAAAAAAGTACCCCGGTAGTGGTCCCATTTAAATTTGAAGAAAATATTCCACTTCTAAGAGCCATTCAGAGTGCAGGTGCGGGTGCGGTGGCGGGTGCTGGCGTGCGGGTCTTGGCGTCTGGCCTTTCACAGTGCCGAAGCGGCTACGAGCGGCTAGATCAACCCGTCGAAATCGCAAACAGACACTAGACCAATCACTGAAAGCGGGCGCGGGTAGCGCCCGCGTCAGCCTCGAGATAGGCGTCGGCGCGCGCGGCCACTGTGAACGCAACAAGCGTCTTTTTTACGTGTATTTCATTTACACGCACTCGCGCCCGCCGCCACTCTGAATAAGTCCTAAGGGTGGCAAACAAACCGATTTCAACAAAACTTAGCAAATACAAGGTGTTGATTTGCATTCTCGCCATATTTAAAAAATTAATAATATAAATAATGCTAAATCATCTAAAAATATTTTAAAAATATTCTGTTCAATATTCTGGCTAATTGTATCGAGTAAAGTTTTGAAAAATTGTCCCGCAAGTGTACTCACCGCAGAGGACAGTGACCCCGCCACTCGCTTCACCGAGCGATACGGAATCTTTCTCGTTCGCTTATTTACCCATTTTTAAATCATGTTTATGTACTAGTATTGTTATAATTTACTAATTATTTACACGAGTTAGAAAAGTTGACTGAAAAAAGATTTATTGTAATTTAGGTTTGGTACTTACCAACTTTAGGTTAGATGAAAGTAGTGTTAGAAGTACCTAGCTCCACAGCTGGTGGCAGGCTCCGTGACGGAGCCAGCCACAAATATGCATAGTTTCGTTTCAACTTAGCACATTCTTCACAACAGAAAAAGCAGAAAGAAACCAAAGACGATTTTTGCCCGCAATTTTTCGACACTCGGAATCTGCGTAAACTAAATGTTTCACATCATGCCATAAGAACACATTTTATGGTAATGCACATGGTAGCGGTTATTTTTGCACTAACTCTTGTTTACATAACACACAAACGACGTTGAATTTCGTGAGAAACTAGAATGTATGCGCGATGAACGCAGACGCAGTACGCAAGGTGGACTGATGATCTACCAATCACGCGCTCGATACAATTCACCCCCCGTCTCTACTCGTACCCTGCCGCCAAATAGAACTAAAATGCATATTTTCTGCGCATACTGCGTATAGGACCATTGTTCAAATGGTTGCCGGTACCTGTGTCACGTGTAGTGCAAGTCAATGACCTTTGGATCAAGGTTGGTTACCGCAATTAAATAAAAATTTAGGATCTTTTTTTTTATTTATTTTTTAGTGATTTGGGTTCAGTTCCGGATATAGAATGACCTCTGTAAATATGGCGAGAATGCAAATCAACACATTGTATATGTAATTTCACGAACTTTTAAGGTCGGTTTTTTTAATTCTCTGTATTGAAATTATGTAATGTAAATAGTTGGTATTGAGTTCGCTAATGAAGCGACTTTTATGCATTGACTTATCGATATTTGTTCTGAATGTTGCAATCGCTTAGAACCACAAGCGATTGAAACAATTGACATTGACGTAATAGATCTCTTTCTATCTTTTGCGCAGCGTAGGATAAGGACAGTTAGCTATTTGAGCGGTTACGATGCAAGCAGTAGAGATGCAGTCGCTAACACACTTGGGATCTGAAATAAACAAATACTAACATAGTGCAAGC